AAGCAGCAGCCAGACAAACACCCTTCTACCCCCTCATATTAGGACGTCCGGGGGGAGGGGTCGCGTCTTTATGACATCATTAGGAATGATCACGCGTCGGAAGCGTGGAGAATGAATCAAAAGCTCCTGCGACATAAATTTTCAGGTGGTGATGGGTTAAGATTTTAGATACCCACCATTTTAGATTTAGATAGTACTTATAAAACAAAAACAATACAAAGCTTGATCTATTGTGCTAATTCTATTAAATCTATACTGCATTTAGAACTACGAATATTGGGTAAAACAATTAGTAATTGTATGTGGTGCTATAACATTGGGGCTTTACCCACTGTAGAACAGGGTATCACCATAAATGCGGTTGCGATCCGGAATATTTCAATTGACTGTTCACAATTCAGAACATTACTATTTGCCACATGCCTCGACGTGTGCGAGGCAGTCCGTTAAACCCTGGCAGAGTTGGCAGAGGATTTGATAGAACCATAATCGAGTAAACGCATTTGTGTGTAGTACAAAATGTACTTTTTAAATAAAATGCGATGTATTGTGCACGTAATGTACAAACCGGCACCAATAGCTCCACGCACATTAGATATTGAAAACCTGGCCAACTCCTATAAATATTTTGAACTGGTAAAAGGCAGCCGGTGGGTTTTAAAATGACTACAGCTGTCGAGATGAAATGCGTAATTTTAAACGTTCGCGAGAGCTGGGGAAGAATGCGTGGAACCTCCACGCGCGTTCCAGAGTGTTCTGCAATAAGCCGTGCTGTCCTCGCTCTGGGCGAGAGGCTGGTGCGTGTAATGAATGAATGAATGAATGAATTTTATTCAGAACTCAACAGTTTTCCTTTCGAGAGCATATACATCGTTTTTTAGACTGCACAATTAAGCCTGTATAAACGCCTCGCTACAGGATCGTCTCGGAAAGTTTAAGGCGTTTTAAACTCCTTTTGGAGTCTAGTGACCTTTTCAACATTCAAGTATTCGTATAAAATCCATTAGCTTGGCGCAGTGTTGCACCTATTATGATTACGCATAATGGATTCATATTTTATAGGAACCCAGGGCTGGGAGAATCCAGTTTGCCGTCCAGGTCACCTGGTTTTTAACCATTGCCAACACCTGTTAGCTATAGAATCAAGGAAGTAATTGGGAACTAAGTGAGCTGTTGTCCTGCAGGATTGAAGAATACTTCAGTTATAGTCCTAAGTGATCGCTAAACGACTAAGTTTACAAACCCCCTGATTAATTTGATCGCAATGACATAGGTCCGTATATGTAGTAATTGGTGATTTAATGATGACATAGTATAGCATAGTATTATACAACCCACCAAAAGAATCAATTTTGCAGTTTCTACTACTTTTTTAATTGTATATAATTTATAGTTGTAATATGCATAGGAACTCTCGGATTTCGTATTGCCATTTATTCGCTGTGCCCTGCATGTTTCTATTTGTCTCCAAGTTTTCAATTCGTGCATTAACAGCGATTTTCCATGCTGAATGCCCGTTCGCTCGGTGCGCTTTCTGCCCGACCATGACGAAGGGGTCGTCATGTCTACAGTGACAGCCGTGCGAGGGCGAGAAGGGGAGACGTCTCACAGCAGCGAATGACAGCAATCAACCCCTAGACCTTGAGATACGGATAACACTACCATCACTTCATGCCATCGCGCAGCTCTGAAGCAGCCTGGAAACCGGGCAAGCTTGTGTATATATATATATTCCTTTTTTGAGTGTGCACTTTCCTTCACGTCCCCACTCTCCCGTCGTATTCACGCGAGGGGCCGCCACAGTCGAGTCAGATCCGTGAACCCTTCCCTCCCGCGCACCATAGGGGAGACAAAAGGCGGAATGAACCCCTATAAACCACCCCCTCACACTGACAGCGTCTCCGTCCAGCTCGTCTATTCCTAATTCTGGAGATCTGTTGAAGTATATTCCAATAACGCATACACACTTGACGTTTCACTGTTCTCACATGATGTATGCCCGGACGTTTTTCAAAAATCTTTCAGAAAACAAAATGTTATCTGATTATTTTTCTCAAAATGAATCCCTAGATATCGCTGCGCAGGTTGTGTACGCATGCGTTTGTATGCTATTTTTGGGGTTAAACTATGATGAGATGAGGAAGAGTAACAGAAAAAAAAGTGAATAGTTTTTAGGGTTTGGGTTCGGGACTCGAGGGAGACTTTTCATTTTTTGGGGGGGGGAGGGGGGCAGGGACAGACGAGGGGGGCTGCGGTGTGCACGGTGCAGTCTCATGACAGTGACGTGATGGGGGCGAGTCTCAACGTCACTCCTCCCATCGCCCGGACTTTAAAGTGCGTCCCTGAGCCTAGCAGTGCAGCAGGTTAGCGTGGATGGTTGAGGTCTGAAGCCGGTAAAGGAGAGAAAGAGAAAAGGCAAATTAGAGGGCATTTCCTTCGTCATATCGGCGAAAGAACCCCGGGCAACCAACAGCATTTCTACAGAGTTATTGTTTATTGTCGAATCGGTTTTTTTTTTCCTTTTCGGTCTGATTCGATTTTTTTTTTTGTGCTTGACATTTATATTTAATCCTTATTATTATTATTATTTTTTTTAATCTTCGCTGAAACCGGCGAATTCGCGTTCCTTCTTCGGGGATCCCGCGCGCGCCCAGCTGCCGAGCGGGACAAAAGGTCCGGAGGAA